ACATGATTTGTATAATTGGAAATTGTTTCAAAGAATTGTAATTTCGATAATAGTAAAATAATCTTAGAAAATGATTAATATTTAAACTTTTAAATCCACACCTTTGGCGGTAGCTTGTACTATTTTACAAAAACCATAGCAAATATTGTATGAACAAAAATATGTAACAATTAGTTTTCTTTTGGAATGCAAATGTATATCTTGAGTATTTTTCACACAAAACTAATTTACAACATACATCAAAGCATACACAATTACACATACTTTATTCAAATCTAGATAAAAAAAATACTGACAACAATTTAATACATTTATAAATAGGATCTAATGTTGCCCGTTGTTCAATACAAGCAATTTGATGTTTGTCTTTTGGAAATAAACATCAAAGCGATTGCGCAAAAGTACTTGCAATAGTAGTATGTGATGTGTATCTCCAATGTGAAGTCTAAACTCATAAGCCTGCATATTAAGCTTATGGAATCATACTAAATTTCTAATCTCCAAAAATTTCTCGCTTCTCTCTCCTATTATTATTATTAGTATTAATGCTAATTATTAATTATTATAATAATACTAGTATATAAATATATATTAAAACTCAAATAATGCTTGAGTGGTATTCCATTTGTTCTCTCTAATACTCAGAAATTTTAAGAAGCACGTTACGTGCCCATTAGAGAGCACGTAGGCTCACTTAACGGAGATTAAAGCATATCTACGATTCATCTAAGGAGTATAGAGTAGGATAAAATTTTCTACCGGATCATATTTTTAATTTATATCTAGGAACTAAAAGTTCACATCTAATGTTTTGAGGTCATGTGGCCTTCTTGCTAATCTTTTCATATACCCTATTATAAATTAGAACAAATTATTTTAGTCTAATTTCAGTTAATTCTCTCTTTTCTGCACAAATGTAAACCAAATTTTTTTCTTTATTAATTACTGTGCAGTTAAAACTTGGCTAAGTTTTAAGGATGGAGAAAATATTAAATAATTTATGCCGTAAACATATCATAATTTGCATAATAAATATGTACAAATTAAATTTGGAATTAATCGTATTCCCTCTGTGTTTTAAGGTTTGTCACATTTTTTAATGTATAAAAAAGTTTGTTACACTTTCTTATTTGGTAAGTTTTTTCTTTTAAAAATACTCAATTACTTTTACTTTATCTGCTCAACATTTTGGCGTTTTATCTTCTCGTGCATACTTTTCCACTCTCTCATACTTTTTTATACTATTCATTACTCATACTATTTCATCATTAAATAATGTGCCCAAAACTATTGTACTGAACTTTAAAATAGAGAGTGAGTACTAATCTTTACTCATACTATTTCATCATTAAATAATGTGCCCAAAACTATTGTACTGAACTTTTAAATAGAGAGTGAGTACTAATCTTTTAAATTCATAATTCAAAAGATTAAAACGACTCAAATAGGAATTTTCATTTGTGATTGAACTATAATACCCTTAAAGAGTTGGAGCACTGCTGCCCCCCAATTACTGATACATAGTGACCAGTCATATTTTTGTCCAAAAACATAAGTAGTCACATTTTGTACGGGGAAACACGGTTTGTAATATACATGTCATTTATCCTGTTTTTAGAAGAATGCTACTACCTAGACCTGTACAAAACCGGGCCGGGCCGCCCAGCCTGTCCGCACAAATGGGAGGGCTTGGGCATATATATTTACCCACCGGTCCGGCCCGATCCCGGCCCGCAATAAGATATGGGCGTGCTTGGGTTGTGGTGTCCGCCCGTTCGGGCCAATAAGCCCGGCCCGCTACATTTGGTATATATAAATATATATATTTAGGGGTGAGATCACATACAAACCATGCTTAATTTACTAACCTACAAACTCGATAATATGCAACACTTTTAACTTTAATATGCAGTACAAATAATGTAAAGATGCACACTTTGAACTTCAATATGCAATATAAATAATCTAAATATGAAACCGTTATTTTATTGTTTGAATAATATGCAGCACTTTGAACTTCAATATGCAATACAAAAAATGTAAAGATATCATGCATGTGAGGACTAGTTTGTATGTGATCCCACTTCTGCACCTTTACATTATTTGTACTGCATATTAAAGTTCAAAATGGTGCATATTATTGAGTTTGTAGGTTAATATTTTAAGCATGGTTTGTATTTGATCTCTTGTCTATATATTTATATATATACAAATTTATTTATTTATTACTTATACACATGTATATTATATTTACTAATTTTTCTTTATACATATTTATAGTTTATTATGTTTAAATTTAAATTTTATAAAAAGCTCGGCCCGATCCCAGCCCGAACCCATTTTTGTACAGGTCTACTACTACCTCTGTCTCAAAATACTTTGCTATCCATTGAAGTTTGGCCGGATCATGATTTTGATTAGCATAATACGTAGTATTATGCAAGTTATAAATTTTATACTTTATGAATATATTTTTAACTAAAAATCATTTTCATATTAGTTATATATTACTACGTATAAAAAAATAATAAAAAAATATAGCTGGCACGGAGTAGTATATTTTAATATTATGAGGAGCAATTTTCTCCAAATAATACTCCAAGATCTTAATAACTAGGGAGTATGTGGTCACTAAATAAAGATACGTAAGCATTGAATCCTCTAGCGTGGCATATATGTGCTCACTAACGAGCCCATCACATGCCTACAGCCTACTAAAATTTTCGCTCTAATACTTGTCTCGTATTCCATATTGGAATGTTTTTTTTATTACATGTCTCTTTTTTTCTTTTAGTAAGTTTTTCATTTCAAAATACTTATATACCGTCACTTTTATTGCTTTTATCGTTTTTATTATTTTTTACAAAAGCTTCACTTCTATTTTCTACTTTCTCATTTACCCTACACCTTCTATATTATCCTACTATTCTCTTCTTAAAATCGTGAAAATCTGAGTGGACAAATATTAGAGAACGGTGAGAATATTTATTTCCCGTAAATAGTTATAAATGTATAAATGCCACCTTTCAAGCAAAGGGAGTTGCTTTACGCACCCCTAACATTACTTAATGTAACCATGATTAGACAAGTTTACCCTCTTCATTTCCTTAATTAAAATTGTTCCCGTCAAAACCTCCAAATGGTTCCAATACACCGGTACGCTGTTAAATAAATAAATAAATTGCTCCTGTAGTTCTATCTACATTTTGAATTTCGGTACATTAATATTTTTAATCACCTGCAAAACTGATTTTCAATTCAGTAATTTGCTACAACTATATTATTCTTTTTGTAGAATATCATATTTTTTTCATTTGTGCTTTGGTTTTTTTAAAGTCTAATTACAAAAAAATATTTTTCATATTTTATAAATATTGCATAATTTTTTTTAAAAAAAAGCATTTTTATTCTGATCTAGTGTGTTGAAGTCTGGCCCGGTAAACGTCTGATGGATGTATATTTCACTATTGTTTAAGTTCGATCCGGCGTGACTTAATGTGTTTAGGTCGTATTTTTTAAATTTAAAATTCAGAACTGAAAAAATAAGACAAAATAGAAATCTACTTGTGTCCAATTGAAAAAACATTACTATGATTCTTTGGGAAAAGTGTTAACATATATGTCGCAATTTAAAAAATTCATTATTTTTTTTTTGTATCCTTGCACAATGAAATTACATATTTTGTATCATTATAAATGGTTCAAGATTACAATATAACGAATTTAATTTTATTAAGTCTAAAAACAACAACAAAATGTTATTTCAAAAATGTAGCAATGTGTTCGCAATGACACTAAAATTAAGCAAAATTACACATTTAGTCATGTGACTATTATACCACTTCCACTAAATTTGCCAGAATTTTGGTCAGAAGGACGAGGGGTGGTGAGGGGATAATGGTCATGGACTAAATGTGGATAATCTGAAAGTAAGGAACTAAATGTGGAAGTGGTATAATAGTCATGAGACCAAAAGTGAAATTTTTTCCTAAAATTAGTATTTGTGAATGTGAAGTGCTTCATATTTTATACATGTATCACTCTAAAATATGAGTAGTGATTATCAATAGAAATTTAAATCAAGTCTTGAAAGACGTGAGACTTGCTCTTGACACCTTGACATCTTCCACATCTTTTATAGCATTGGAAAGTGTACTTATTTTATATAGTATGGAGTATTATTATATACTCCCTCCGTCCCATAATTTACTTCCAATTTTCTCTTTTCATCTGTCCCAAAAAGAACTTCTCTTTCCCTTTTTAGGAAAAAATTTGTGGTTCAAAACAATTCTTACACATTCTTACACATTTCTCTCTCCTCTGCACAACTCTCTACCACACAATTCTCACTTTCTTAATTTGTGTGTCATTTGTACTATGGAAGTAAATTCTAGGACGGAGGGAATAGCTTTTTATTAGATACATATTAGACGATTGTAAAATTTTTGTAACAGTATTATTATGCTCCACAAATACGTATATAGTATATTTTTTATGATAGCTATAGTTTGTAATTCTAATTATATTAGGGCAAGAAGCATGTTTTAAAAATTCTTGTTCTTTAGAAACAAATTAAACAATACTGAGTAATAATTAAAGACATACGAATATAAAAACTCACTTAGTGCTCCATATCTTTGAATAATTAAAAAATCAGTGAAGTGGTGCGCCGGGTACATAATAAAATTCTCCATAGAGCATACTTGTCCAATCTTGAAACAAAAGCAGTGTGCAGAGCATAATTGAAGGCGCGCGGAGATAGGCCTCAAGCAAATCACATTGAAGGTTACTTGTTTTTATATTATTGCTATATAATTTAAATTCAATCGCAACTTTTACAATAAACATATTACGGAGTGCATTTCGAGAGATCACTATCGGCCCTTAAATATGCATTCATGAGTTTGAAAAGTGTGTATGCTGTAAATAAAGAACATCAATATCCATGTTCTTTATTTACGGTATACACACTTTTCAAACTCATAGATGCATTCAAGAAATTTATATAAAAACTTCTTAACATTTAATTAAGCATTGCTCTTAAACTGCAGGCATCATTTAACATGCTTAAGATGAGTTCAGTCCAATTTAAATCAATCTCAGGGACTAAGATTCAGGTAAAACCACACCATCCTGATCTCAAAGATCTAATTTATAATCAACAAAATGAAATGTAACAGTATATTACAGAAATGCCTATATTGTCTTCACTGAAATGGTTTGGCAACGTTCGATCATCAGAAACATCTTTAGGAAACATAGACAAAGCTTCAAATTTCAACTCCTTTGGTTCGCCGGACAGCCTTGCTCAACTTAGTCACCCCCCTTCAAGCCCCACTTTTTCTTCAAATGATGCCCAGAACAGCACAAAAATCTTTTATGAAGATCACATCTTGTTAAACAATGGTTACCTGGGAAATGGACAAGTGTCTGACCACACTTCATCTTCTCCCAGTTTAAGGAATTGAAAGATCAGCAGCTCTCGGTCATTGTCTCCTTCGACCCGCTTGCTGCATCATGTTTCGGATGAAATTATAGCTGGAAAATAAAAGAAACTCACTGTTAAGTGCTAACAAAATTGCCTAGAATCTCCGTGCAAAAGTTATGGATGAATATGATGAATTATAATAAAAACTAAAAATATACGGAGTAATATACTACTCCCTCCGTCCCGTTGGAATGTTTCCGGTTTGACCTACACACATATTAAGGAAATAAACTTACCAGGGGGTAAATTTTACTGTTTCGACACTGTTTTACACTGGACACTGTTTCACACTGTTTTGCACTGTTTGAACCTGTTTTGATGTAGGATAACTTTCCATTTAGGGAAATGAAAACTTTCCAACGGGACATCCAAAAAAGGAAAACGGGAACATTCCAACAGGACGGAGGGAGTACGTACTAAGAAAGTAAAAAAAGCTACACTTACACGGAAACCCAGACTTTTTTCAGTATTTGCCACTTCAATGGGCGAAGTAAAAAGTTAGCGTTTTGTAAAACAATCAGACAAATAAGTCCAAAAAATATTACCGAACAAGCACGGAGAGTCGGTTGGCCTATGCCGAAATAGACTTTTTCCTACTTATGCTGCTGATTCTATATTCAAGATGAAAAGACAAATTTGCTTTCCTTTTCTTGATTTGCCCTATACAAAAAAACTACTAACTAGTCTTTTAGGTAATTACCCAACCCATCAACCATTTTAACAGAAAAAATCATCACACTTGATTCGATCAATTCGATCATTCAATCAATTCAGTCATTCCAATTATCACGTAACTAATGTAAGAGGCTCCAAACTTGACAAAAAACCACCTATAAGGAAATGTATACGTAGTAATAAGGAAGAGAGACCTGACAAGAGGAACATTCCTTGCTTTCACAGGGTCGTGACAAAAGAGGGGGCATCTCTTCTTCTCCCCGCAACAGACCTATACACATACACCTTCTCTGCAACAATGTCATCATCTGTCATGTCCTTAATTACCTCCACATTCAATCTCGGCATCTCCTTTGCAAGCAGCCGGCACCCATTCATAGTGACTTTGCAAGCTGACATCCAAAGTGACCTCATAGATTCATACTTCTCCAAACCAGACAAAAGTGCTGCATTGCCAAATGGACAGTCCCTTATTTCCAGCTTCCTCAGCTTTGGGCAACCGTTAAGCACACACTGCATCCCCCAATCACTACTGCCCGCAAAGGCCACAGAAAGGGTTTCCAGGTTTTTGGCATATGTGCCGATATACTCAAACGTACGGTCAGTCAACAGCCCGGAAATTGCAAGCCTCTGAAGTTTCTTGCACCCCTTCACCACAGCGCCAAAAGCCTCATCCATGGGCTCATTGGTGAGGTAATCGGGTAGTTGCGGGCTCATAATGCAGACACGGAAGTGAGTGAAGTCGGGGCAGTTTTGGACAACAGTCGCGACGGCAGCATTAGTCATTGTCCTGCAAAAGTAGAGGACGTAATGGAGTTTCGGGCAGCCACGAGACACAGCAACAAATCCAGCCTCAGTTACACCATGAACAATATCCAGATCAAGGTCAGCTGGGAAGACCCGTAATTCTTCCAGCAATGGGCAGCTGTAGCCAACTGCCTCTAGTCCCTTGTCTTCAACTGTGTCAAGCACCTGAATTTTTAAGACAGAAACATGTGAATATTGAATAATTTCAAGATTTCTTTTTCTTACTAATAATATGAATAAGTTGAGGTAAAAAAATAAAAATAGTATATTAAGTTTCGTGAGTTTTATTTTGTTGAAAAGGTTGAATCTGCTCAATTTTCTAAAAGAAAAGTTTTTGAAAACATCCATTTGACCCGTATAAGTCAAACACTACATGTAAGTAATGCAACTCAATCTGTACGCCTTGTAAAGTCAAAAGTAAAGTGGTAGAATATGCTCAAGTGCAAACGTAGTTATAACTCTATTGACTTATCTATTGCCTTTTCTAGAAAACCATTTAAATAGGAAATAGGAATTGGAAACAACTATTGATGTTCTGTTTCGTTCCATGTTTTTTTCTTTTTTTTTTCTGTCCCAAACATATGAACAATGTTTCTAATTTAAAATACATTTCCTCCGGTCCTAAATAAACTTCACACAAATTAAGGAAATAAATTTGACTTTACCGTAGAGTACATTGTTGTGACACTGTTTGACACTGTTTGGCACTGTTTTACACTGTTTTGATGTAGATAATTTGCCAATTAAGGAAGGGAGAAGAAGTGTGAAGTTTATTTTGGACCTACCCAAAATGGAAAGTGTGAAGTTTATTTAGGACCGGAGAGAGTAGTTTTTAATTTTCTGGTCAGTCCTTTTATCTCTTTTCATTTTCCACTTTTTATGGAGACATGCTACTTTTCCTTTCACAACTTTTTCATCTCGGCAAGCTTAAATGTTACGAAGTATTAATTTTGAGACGGAAGGAATATATAAAAATATAGCTAAAAGTGTCAATCTTTGTTATTTCCATTCATTTCAATAGAAAAAGAGTTACATTTGACTATAACTTCTTATTCTCACTATCAGATGATTCAGCGATTGCAATGACAATAAATGGTGTTTGATGAAAATATCGACGGATCAGGCATAACATCCAAAAGTAAAGTAAAGCAAACCAAGCAAAATCTTATTCTGATGAGATGGGGAGAAAGAACCAGATTAGTTTAAGCTTAAAAACATGAAGGAAGGTACAATAATGTTGTAACTGTTGATCTTACCCAGAGGCGGCGTAAGTTAGGGCAATGCTCAAGAAGCTTAGCGAAATCAGCACTCTGAATGAAGGCATCATTCAGGTCCAAGAAAGTGAGATTGAAACAAGCTGGATAGATAATGGGGAAATATAGAGAGTTGACTTCCCATAAACCCGAAAGGGTTTTCAAATGTTTACAATTGCGAAAGGCATTCTCAAGATCAGCACACTGCTGGGGGTTGAGATCTTGGTTGAAAGAGCCAGTGCCAAGCTTCTCCAGACGAGGGGCCCGCACAATGAGGCGCTGCAACTGTTCCAGATTGATGGCCTTGTTAACCTTCAAAACCCTCATGGACTTGCACCTGTTGATGAGTCTCTCGAGTGCATCAAAACTCACTTCGTTGTTGAGGCTTGAATAGTTGAGGACTTCTAAGGACGAAAAGTCTTCAGGAAAGCAACTTAGCCAACTCCCGCCCAGATCGTCCATTGCATTCTCATGTATGTCTAGCTCGGTCAAGTTCCTGCTCCCCCCAAAATTAAAGATGAGATGTTGTGCATCTTAGACCACATCTAAGCTTCTAAAAACAAATAATAGGCAATTCAAATTACTCCGTATATGCTTACATTAATGTTATCTTTTATTTTTCTGGTGTAATAACTTATGCTTATTTGTTTACATGAGAAACTAAATCATTCAGACCAACTGACACGAAACCAAAAAGATTGAGAACTAATTAGTCCAACGGTTGTTTCCACTATGACAAGAAAAATAGACAATCCCTCAAACATTCAAATCAGAGTTGGCCAGGAAAAAATGATTCAAACCAGGTCAATTTAAGCCAAAAACATTTGCACTAGATCATTCTAACAAGAATGACACAATAAAGTCTAGACCAGACAAAATCATAAAAATTTCAGATCATATGATATTTTTAAAAGGAAGAGAGTCTCTATAGACTTCAAAGGACTTTCCCTCTAAAGTCTTCCATCCAAACAAAGCTAAGAAAAAAGAAATATGGTCTCTGGTTGTACTGATTATTAAGAAATGTAAAATAGTGTGGTTAAAATACTGTGAGAAAACCGAATAATATGATACTATGAAGCTGTCACCTTTTCTCCCTAAATAAATTTCACTTATTATAGTTCCCCCGTCCCCCAATTAAATTCTCAGTTAGATCTTAACTATCTTCAAATATAAATTAACATTTGAATAATATATATTAACATTTGAAAAATATATATTTCAATGAAGTGTGTAAAATTATTTTTGTGAAATAAAATAATGTAAATTTTGAATGATTAACCACCAAATTTTATTTACAAAAAGTGCAAACACTATACTGCGATTAATGCTCATACAATCAATTTAACTTCTTCTTAATAGCTAATTTGGTGTAACAAGTTGCCCATTTTCAATCTTAGTTTTTTTACATTTCAGTGCAACCTTTAAAATGGTGTTTAAATATGAAATTATAGTTTGGAACAGTCATTTGAGTGAAATTGAAAAGTGAAATTTTAATTAAGAACAGCCATTTATTGAAAAGTAAATGGTAAAAAATGGTTCCGAACAGTGTTAGACAATGTAGCACGAGCAGAGGGTGCGCCAAGGACAACTCAAATAAAAAGAGTTGATAAGTTTGAATTCAATGGACAGACCAATGAAATTGGTGATATGTGTATCCCTAATAATAATAATAATAAAGTACTAAAGGACAAAGCTATCCACTAACAGGTCAAATGTCACATCCACCAACAGAGAAAAGAAAGAGGAACAGAAGACAGGAGTAACCATTGCATGTGCAATCAACTAAAATTATATTCTTGACATGACACCCATTTTCAATACTTAATTGTCTCTCTTAAATCTTAATTACCCTGTAACTTCTGAACCTCAAGGCGGTAAAGCAAAGTAAAATAAAAAGAACCCAAACCCATCATGGAGAAATCAATGGTAAATCCCACAACAAAGTGCATGAATGAAAGCTCAGAGTAATTAACCTTGAGAATAAATGGTACCACAGTAAGGCAGTAAACAATCTTATCTTAAATCTTAATCATGATATCTTGAAGGACCCACATATACAGCTCACCTCCCATTAATTATTAATCATGTTTTCGGTAAAGGTTATTTTTTTTAATGAAAAGAAACTCTTTTTAGCTAGATCAGTTGCACCAAAACAAGTAAGAATTTTTATGGTAATCAGACGTAATTTATTCAATTCCGTTTCCTGAAATTCAACTAATTCAATTGTCTCACCCAAAATTCCAAATCAAACTGGTTCAAAGTCAAACTTATGCATTATCATCAAATTAAGATAAGCCAATGAACCGATTAATGAGAAATTAATAAAGGGTGTTCATACTTGCAGTGTGTTGCAATGGCTTTAATCCCATCAGTGCTAAATCCATCACAGCTCAACAGGGAGATTGCCTTAAAACCCGGAAACGACGTCGCTAGAAACTGCAGACTCTCATCGGAAACAGTCATCCTCTTCAGCCTCAATTCCTCAAGAAAGGGGTAAGCTTTGGCAAAAACAACCAGCCAAGCGTGAATATCGGCACCCCAGTTCTGGGGAACCAGATTGAAGTCTGAAAATCGAGGTTTTCCCTTCAGTGTGATGCTCTTAATCCTCGGAAACCTCCGGGCGACGATCTCCGGCGACACCGAGTAGCAGTTTCCGATGAAGACCTTCGTCCGGGACCACCTTTCTGCACTGTACCACTCCTTGCACACCAGAGACGCGGCGTTTCTGTCTTTGTGGGATTCCAGGAAAGAGAGGACTTTTTCCAACACCTCGTCTGGGAACTGAGACGAATCGGGCGAGTCAGACGCCCTCGCCGAGCTCTTGAGCCGTTTCGCCCATGGATCCATTTGATCTTCACTGAAAATCAAGAAATGTTCGAATCAAGATTGCAGAAAAGATTGCAACTTTATTATTCTTGAAAATAATAGGCAAAGAAGCCTAATTTAATTTTATCAGCAAAGAAGCCTAATTTGGTATAAATGACAAAGAAAAAGCTAAGTATATTAACAAAAAGCTAAAAGGAGAGACACAAAAGGTTTTGAATTTCCTACCTCTCCGGCGAAGCGGGGGAAGAGGGGAGGGAATCCGCAGAAGGGAGCAAAAGAAAAGATCAATAAGCCACTAGGGGTTTTATAGCAAAAGGGTCATTATCTTATTTTTTAAAAAAATAAAATGAAAAGAAGGATGGCAATAATGATGATTTATGTAAAGCTAAAGCATGAATAAATAAATAAATAAATAAAGCTTACAATGATAATAATCTGGGGAGGGGGAGTCCTCACCTCATCAGCTTAGCCAGGGCTGAAAGCTGACAGACTAGGCAGGGAAGGCAACTAAGCCCTCTTCAAGTGGTGAGGGGATTTGTGTAATCCATCCCACGTGCTGACACGTGGACAAACCACATCATCTAAAGCGCATGTTAGCAGATGCGCCCGTAATAGCGATGGGTCGTTGAAAATTGAAAAGTGAAAAACTGTGAAGACGAGGGAAGGGAGGGAATAGAGCTCCCAAGTCTTTCTCCTGTTTACGTTTGCTTCAGTTCCGTTGGGGTTTTTTTAGGAAAATTGCTTTTGTACACGCCAAGTTTTAAATTGTTAGACATTTATTAAATTGTTTATGTACAGACAATTTGACCGGGACACAGACATTTTGAACGGCGTTTTATGAAAAAAATTGATTTTCACATAGACAAAAGTAAAAAAAAATGTCTGTATCACAGACACTTTATAAAAAATTCAGGTCTAAAATGTCTGTGATACAGATAACTCTTTACATTTTGTATGTATGGAAATCGATTTTCGTCTTAAAACGCCGGTCAAATTGTCTGTCTAGCTGATCAAATTGTCTGTATACAAACAATTTGACAGAGGTGTACACGAAGCCGGACTCTTTCTTTTATTCCTATGCGAAGGAGAGAATCTAAAGCATCTTTGCCCTTTAATTTGTGTCAAATCTCATCACATATTCACATATATTAAGTACCAAGTATTAAGGTAATCATAACCATTTTGATAACTACAAATATTCCGTATTTTTACTTCGCACCTGTTATATCATCCACGTCCCCCCACCAAATGTTGTAATTTGTCAAAAAAAATATGGAGTCCTGCTTTTTTGAATCATACGGAGTACAATTTATGAAGCCTCATTATAGTAATTCATTTTATAGTGGATTTATAGTGAAAGACTATCATATATTCACATGTTCTACTTTGACTGTGTTTTATTTATTAATGTAATAATATTATATTATGAAAAAAATATTGTTAAACTTGTCTCATTGTAAATTTTCATAATCTAATTTTTTTAATTTTTTTACTAATACAAAATCATTTATATTAATGGTCAAAGTTGTGTCTCGACAAGTGTGAAATGTTGACCGTTACATTTATTTAAGCACGGAGGAAGTAATTATCATATAATTAGTAAGTGAATTATTGTAAATATAGTGTTTTATGACTTCACCATAGATAACTCATAAAGTAAAAGATTAAGAAAGAAAAGTTGATTCTCCGTCTCTCCCTCTCTTAATAGATGCCCAAACTTTGAGGACATGTGATCACAATGGGGCTTGAAGGGACATATGATTCTCATAACACCATTAAGGAGCTTGAAGGGAGATTGAAAAACAATTATAATAATCTAGTTAGAGAAGGAGTCATTCATTAACGTTAAAATAACCAATTCACAAAAGACGATCACTAAGCTCACTACAGAAAATGAAAAACTTGGAGCTAGGGTGTAAGACCTGACTAAGAAGCTAAAAAGCACTGAAACTGAAAGAATTGGACTTTTTAGTGTAAACAATTCATTTTACTCAATTAGGGGCTCTCTTTATAATAAGATTAAGGAACTTGAAGATCTGTTAGCTAAAAGGGAACAAACAAATCAGAATATTTTCCTTAATCAACCTAAGGAAACTCGATTCTACAATTTTAAAGAGGCTTAACGATTTCTAATCCCCAGTGTTTGAAAAAGGTCAATTTTGTTCAACTCTATGACATCAAATACATGGGATTAGGGTTGACCAAATTTATGGCCTTCACTTGAGCTAAAGAATCGAATGCCCTCAAAGATCACAATAGAAAAATGAAGTGTAGGACTGAGATTCCTTTTGACTATACGTGCCTTACAAGAGTTACAAAAATAGAGAGATCACGTTGACAGTATCAGTCTATGAAAATCCCTAAAAACAAATTGCAATGATTCATAACCTATTATAACATTTGTTCTATGTTAAGACTAACATCATTGAAATGGAATGTGATTCAAACTTCTAACCTCTTCTTTGAGAGTGTCAAAGTGATGCCATCAGACCACAAGTCACATGACAACCCCTAAAAATAGTTGTAAATTTGAGATGTTTTTTTCTATTTGACTGAAAAAATTTATTATTCTTGTAATATTTATTTTTATTGACATTTTGTTGCAACATATGCTATTTTATATCTTAAAATAAATTTATTTAAATACATATTACTTCAATACATTTTAAATTTTTTTGCAATATACTCTATCTAATTATTCTTGTAATGTACATATAACTTACCCCACCGTAGGTGGGATCTTTTGCGGCACTGGAGTAATGATGATGATGACTCTATTTAATTAAATTTAGGCCCCTGATGTGATCATAAATGAGTAATTGAATGACATGTGGCAATATGATTTATCAACGTAACTCTCAATTGTATAATATATAGATGTGATTAATTCGGACAATCAATTTACATGTAGGGTATATTTGGCACAATTAGTTGAAAAGATACTTTTGTAAGCTTTTTAATAACTGTTAGCTTTTAGTGACTGAAAAGATCTTAAAGAGAAAAGGTGGTAGTTGTTTGATAAAAAGTTGATTGTTTGATTTAGTTCGGTTTGGTATACAAGCTGTTAGGACTAATTGATACTAAAAGTCACAGGTTTTTTCAGATGCTACTCCCCGTAGCATCTCAAAAAAGATCTTTTAATTTTTGAAAAGCTCTTAAAAATTGTCATGCCAAACATTAAACTAGAAGTTTTTTGAAACTTTTTGAACAGTACAAAGGCTATGTTCGTGAAACCATTTCAGCCAATAATAGGCTGAAATATTTAAAATTCAGTCCATTTTAATTAGTGTAGACTTGTTTGGTTGAAGGGCTGAAATGGGCTTGAAGTGGAATTAGTAGTGATGGAGTATATGGCCCAGGGACCCCCGGCCCACATACTTCCTCTACTACAATCAGGCCCCACAGGCCCAAACAGGCCAAGCCCAGCAAAATGGAGCTCTAAGCAACCCACAATACGCAAAGGGGTGCCTTCGGCACCATGGCCAAAGGCTATAAGTGACGGAATCGAGCTCAGAAACATCACAGGAGAACAAGACTTGAAAACCAAGCCTTCGACAACTGCAGCCCTCGGCATGTAGGAGCCCTCGGTTAGAAGAGGCATCACACGAGAACAAGGCTTGAAAACCAAGCCTTCGGCACCTGCAGCCCTCGGCAGGTAGGAGCCCTCGGTTAGAAGAGGCATCACAGGAGAATAAGGCTTGAAAACCGAGCCTTCGGCACCTGCAGCACCTGCAGCACCCTTCAGCCGAAGGCATCCACCTCGACAGAATATCCTCTTCACATGCGCCTGGATCACCGTACCAAGTACAAACGTCACATCCAACCACCGCATTTAATGCGGCCACATGCGAGTGTCAGTGCCACCCCGGTCGAGGTGACCCCTCGACCACCAGAAAACTGACACGTGTCCTTATCTAGCATTTAATACTACTATAAATAGCACTCCTTTCCCCCATTGTAAACCACGCTTAATACATATCGAATATACACTCTCTCTCTTACTTATTTGCTCTGACTTCTCTCTAGTTATTCTCCGCAATAACCCCTCGGATAAGCTACCCCCCAGGTACACTATCCACCATTTGGTGCTCTCGTTGAGAGTTCGAACAATCAAGTAAGAAACCCTCCCCTTCAGCTAAAAACACCTATCAAAATGGGAAGAAACACTTGTGCCCGATCCAAGACTCATGAGGACAGAAACCTGGCCCTCGGCGACGTCGACGCCCTCGAAGGCTCTAACATGGCTCCCGAGGGCGGCGCCCTCGCTGGGTTGGAACAGACGGCTGTCGACCTGTGCCTTCAGCTCCAACATAATGCCCCTGATGCCCGCCTTGGCATCGAGGCCAAAAAGAAGGACCAGAGCGAAAACCAAATGAGCCCTTCGGTTCTCACCATTGACGTACAATCAGCGTTCTCCGCCTTCATCCAAACTCTCACTCGGGGAGAACGCCATTCTCCCCCCTCCTCCGCTCCCCTTCGTGAACCCTATTCTTCGATTAGGGAACAACGAGAGGGTTGTGGCCCAGGACAACGCCTCTCAGGAAGTCCAATCCCGGGACCGCCACGGCGCAAACAAAGAAAGGCCCCGGACCTCCGCCCTCGAGAGACTCGGAGGGGCGCTAGACCACCGAGGGGTCCAAGACCGCCTCGGCGGAAAGGTGCTTCAAAGACCTCAGGAAAGTGGCGGATCCGTCTCTAGGGCAGATGAGAAGCTTCCCCTCGGGATAAAGGCAAAGCACCCCTCCATGCCGACGGCACCCGACATCAAATCAACCAGGCCCGCTCGGCCCATGGCCATTCGCAGGGGGCGGAGGCCCTCCCGAAGGACACCAGGGATGAAATTATTACGGCCCTCCAGCACCGGCTTGATGAAATGGAGGCCCGTCAAGCACATACCGCCGTTGCCGCCCCTCATGCAGATTCTAAATATGAGGCCATGCTGGCCCAAATGGAGGAGATGCAAAGGAAATTTGCCGAAGGCTCCGGGGAACCCGTCATCCAACTCCGAACTAGGACGCCATTTACCCCAAGGGTATTGGCGGCCCAAATCTCGGAAAAGTACCGAGGGCAACTCATCAAGCCCTATGAAGGAAAAACTGACCCCCAGGAGCACTACAACAGGTATCAAAACAACATGATGATGAAGGGGGCATCAGATGAATACTTATGTCGTTGGTTCCTTTCCATCTTAGAGGGACCAGCATACGAATGGTTCAACCGATTGCCCGATGGCAGCATTGACTCTTGGCAAGATCTTGCCCAATGCTTCCTCACCCATTTTGCCGGAAGGAAGTGCGCGAGAAAGCACTTCTCCCACCTCCTCTCCGTCAAGCAACAGTCTGACGAAACACTTCGGTCCTTCATTGACCGGTGGATGAAGGAGACATACGAGGTCGA